ATTGTAATTATTTTAATATTTCATAATATATATTTTTACATATGGTATTTAAGTATCTTAAGTTTACATATATTTTTTTAATTTATATGTTTATAATTTGCTTACATTACAGGGGAATTTTTTTTCATTTACTCATTATTTATTAATCACCGATTATTATTTAACATTTCATTGATTAAATTTTCTTAATCTAATCTAATATTATATACATTTATGTATTCACAGGGCAACATATGGCAGCAAATACTCTCATTTCACTTTATACTAGAATTAGTAACGACAATACCCTTTGCACTAACGGTAAGTACACTTAGTCCACTAAATCGAACGCTAAATGAATTGTTGTTATTTGATAATTATCTGTTTTTTGCTTCTGCTTGTTGTCCTTTTAGATTGTGCATCCACCGCTGCGCAATCTCTTCATTCCAATATTCTTAAATTGTTGGCTGGCCAAACGTTCGCTGGAGAAYATGTTTGTAAGTATCTGTATGTGTGTGTGTGCATGTTAAACTAACCATAATTCTCAATTTGTATGTTGAAAAACTTTTATTTATTTTATTAAATTTTTTTTTTTTTATTTTTTTAGAACGATTTGCATCGCGCCATGCAAAAATCCCAATCGGCTTTGTCACAACAGTTGACCATTTTGTCGGCCACATTGTTGTGTCTGGTGTTCACCAGGTAAGCTACAAAAAACTCACTTACCTGCTCAGTCTGTCCAACACGCTCAACCCCCCTCTCTCTCTCCCTCTCTCTCTCTGTCACCCTCTCTCTTTTAGTGTTTGTGGTATACAGCACTTTCAGCGCGCAGGGCATCGCCATTTGAATCTATTCCAGAGCACCTACTATGTGGTTGTGACCTTTTCCACAGTGGGCTACGGCGACTTTGTGCCGGACATTTGGCCATCACAGCTGTATATGGTCATCATGATTTGTGTGGCACTGATTGTGCTGCCCACGCAGGTGAGTAAATGCATTTAATTCCCGACTGCTTTCAACTACTTTAACAAGACGGAGATGAGACATTTTGCTGGCGACTTATCTGGGCTGCCGCAGACTTTTTTATGCCAATATTTATGTACATCGTGTAGATAGATGAGCAGATAGGCGAGCGGACACAGTTTTAAGCTGCTTAGCTGGCGCATGTTGACCGGGCTCAGTCMATCAATCAAAATGGCTATTAACCGATGAGTCGATGGCGCCTACTGGTCATCAATCTGTCTAAATATATAAATAAATATATGAGTCATGATTTTGACCCGAGTCAAAACAATTAACGAATAAATTTTTGTTGAATCTGTACAGTTATAGAACCGGCTGACTGACTGACTGATGAACGCACCGGCGGACTCTGTATGCTGCCCAAACAACAAGAGCATCAATCAAAATGTTGTTTTATTGTAGCATACTTTTTGGGGCACTGGCTGCAGGCACTTCTCTCAAACAAGCTCCATGTCAATATGCCCGACGCGCTCCAACAATTTATGACCAGCTATAACAATAGCAAAAAGCAGCAGCAACATTGTGACCAAAATGTTGGCAGTGAGAGTGGATGGTGTGTTGAGTGTGTGTGTGGGTGTGGGTGTGTGTGTGCCCGCCTGGCAAGCACTTAAATTTTATTGAAAATATTAGTGCTGCAATTGAGACTGCAATCGAGTTAAACAAAAAACGTTCTCTGTGTCGCTGTCAAAATTGAATGTCAGCAATCTATCAAACTTAAGATATCTGTATATATATGTGTGCAAAGTGATTGTGTAGATGTATGCGTTACATGTGCACATATAAAATGCAGAGCGTCATCGGATGGCTTTATGATAGGTAGATAGATAAGAATAGCTATAAATATCTTTTTTTTTTTTTTAAATTTTATTTGTTCAATAAAAAGTATTTAATAACATAACAAAGAAAAGAAAAT